GGGCCTTAAGTGGGATCGCTAAAAGGTCAAGTCAGCGTTTACACGCAGCAGTATCACCGCGTTTAGTCATCAATGGGGTGCATTTAGACAGGCGTGCTTCTTACACAAAGTTATGACTTAGGAAACAAGTTTTAAAGCTTCCAGATAAACAGCCGGGCTCCAGATTTTTTGATTTTTTTCCAGGAAGTGAAATCTGACTCTGCATGGTAGCAGCTTTTAGATGCAACCTGGTTTCGTTAAGACGCTTTACGGCTCATCATGAGTAATCTAATACTTCCTCAACGAGGTATATTATATTATATTATGAGCATAAAACTCTTTAGCCATGGTAAAAAATTTATCATCTGGGATTATTCCCAATCAGGAAAACTTAGTTGCGAAATTAATAGCAGAAAAATCAACTATTAATGATTTTGATAACCTCTGATTAAAGGTTAGGACACCCTATGTCGTAAAAGCCTGTCTCCAAATAAAATCTTGATCTCATTTAGAAGATTAGACTTTAGCCAGTTCTTGGTGAGTTTACTTGTTTGTTTTGGGGTCTAGTTCTGCTTCAGCTTTCATTTTTCTTTACAGATAGTCTCACATTTTCCCTAAGCACACTTTTGATTCTATGGTTGTCAGCTGATCAGGTTCTGCTGCAGCAAATCAAAGTACTTTCACCACCATGCTTCACAGCAGGTGTGAGTCGTTTCCTGGAATGCTGCGTTAAATTTATGCAATCAAACATGACTTGCTTTAGACTTAAATATCTAGAGAACATTATTCCAGAAGTCCTAGTCTTTGTCTATGTTTTCTTTGGATGTTTCCTCCTTGCACACATCACAACATTTCCATCCCTGGAGGCCATGTTGGACACTGAACTCATGACCAACTAAATTTTGATTTCAACTGATGTTTTTATTTTATTTCCAGCTGAAAACTTAGACAACCTGCTTATCAAGGACACAGAAAAGTCCTTAAATATTAAACTTAGGAGATCTGGGGAGGATGGGCGAGTATTAACAATATTTTCTCTGATCTGTTTAGTTAAAATGCACATGAAGAGTAAAGTATAACTACCAAGTTATGAAGGTTTTTCTATGTACTAATGGTGCATTTACAAATCTGTGTCGTGTAAATTCAACAGATTGCCCTGAACACAGTGTAAAGTTTGCTTTCACCTTGAGCCAGTTCTGCCTGGATGCTTCACTTTTACTGCTTCTCCATTTAGTTTGGACTCCTAATATAAGCAACAACCAAAATCCTTTGCTACACTCTGTTGATTTAAATGAATTTGTATATTGCCATGCTATGCCATATTTTTTGCATACGGTGGAAGTGCTGCTGTTATTTTATGGTAGTATTCAGTTGTAGCCTTTAAGGACAAAAACATATTTGTTAGGGTCGTGCAGTATGTCAGAAAAAAGGAATGTACCATATCCGTGTGTGCAACATTAATATTGCCAAGTATCAGCCTGTTGGATGCACTGCAGATGTTTGTGCACCAGATGCTAAAGATAGAGAGAGCTGAAAAGACCAAAATATGTGCAAAGCCTGCTCTAGTCAGATTTGTCTTTCTGGGTCACAGTGGTTTGTGAGGGGTAGATTATAAGCAAATCTTTTTTTTTTTTTTTTTACCTGCAAAACACATCTACACCTCATTTGAAGTGAAACAGCATCAAAGGTTAAAGTTAAATATTTACACATGATTTGCAAAAGTTTGTTTATTCTGCAAAGTTCTGTGCTGCGTTGATTTGAGTTATTTTTTAGGTTTGGTTACTCTGTTTTCCCTATTCTCTTTCTTTGGTTAGATCAGTTTTGTTTCTGTTTTACTTTAGTCCTTCTTACTATTCCAGTTGTTTATTTCTTGTTTCGAGTTATTCCTTGTTACCCTAGTTTAAGTGTTTCTTAGCTCTAGTTTTTCCTTAGTGTTCTCTTGTGTACTCTCCCACATCCCCTGTGTTACTGTCTCTCCTTCTCTCTCTTATCTCCCCTCACACCTGCAACCCGTTTCTAATCAGCCATCAGTTTCTTGCTCAGTAATCAACCTCCCCAGTATTCAACTCATTCTCAGTTCCTCCTTGCTGGTTCCTCCTGTCTAATCCCATTACTTCCTCGCTCTACCCTGTGTTTTCCTCGACTCCATGTTGGCTTTTCCCTTGGATTTATGGTTTGTGTTTTGCCCTGGCTCCCTGTGATTTTTTTGTACGTTTGTTTATTTATTTTTTTTTCATTAAATTAACTAAACTCTATTTGACGTTTCCACCTGCTCCATTTCGGTCCATTCAACAAACGGAGATCATGACACCTCGTAAGGTCAATATTGCCTCACACATCCAAGACAAACTTAAAGTATAGAGTTTTGCATGAGTTTTCAAGACTTATCTAAATGGACCAAAGAAGTGTATTTCTTACCCATTTCTTTAAGTTGCAGCAACAGCGTCATTCCTTATGTAATAAGTCGGTTCATAACCCTAAAAAGAAACCGTTGAATCTGCAAGCATGCTAAGAGTTGCCAGCTCGCAGTAATCAGCTCAATCAGCTACTGAGACTGATGAGCTACGGCTCTTTGTCACAAACCAAAGAACAAATGGGTAAATGTGTATGCCGATCATGAAAAGTAAAAGGCTTACTGGTTCATCCTCATGAATGAAATGAAATAATTAGAGCAATTATCACATTGGAACAGAAAAACTTCATCCCACTCTTTTCAGTGGGTGTTCTCCTAAAACAATGGTACAATGGTTTCATTGTGGTTTGCCTTTAGTCAACTCAAGCTCAAGCATATGTTGAACAAACAGATACCGCAGCCCTGGGGGAGTTTTCTCTTGTGTGTTTTTCACTGGATAGTAGGACATTAGCTTAATGCAGGTTAAATTCACTGCAGCCGTTCGTTGACACAAAACTTGTCAACAAGCGTTAAAAAATATCCTTGCAGACTTTAAGTTTTAGTAAAGAAATTCAAACTGCTTTTGTGATCTTCTGTGGATAGGTGGATTTTAACTTCCTATTTGAAGGTTTCTACACTTTGTGGTGCTGAAGTTGGAAGCAACAGTGTTAAATTCCTCTTGATGCTTCAGCTGGATGGAGATACTGGATCAGGCAATCCAGTCAGAAAGCAAGAAAAATAGCACAAGCCCAAACTTGCCCATAAATACAGTCAGAGCAATAATTAAAAAAATAAGGCTGCTGGAAATATGACAAGCAAGCCTATGTAGCAGGGTCGTAGTGGAGGTAAAGAAGACATCTCCAAAGCTCAGAGTGGCAGCTTGGGGTCACCAAGTCGCCATCGTAACACTTAATTTTAAAGCATTTATATTCACAGTTCACATATTTACAAAGAAGTTCCAGGAATTATGACTCAAGGCATTTGTAAACCTTTTTAACACTCTCACAGATTGAAAATTTTCAGCGGCATAACTTGATTTATACGTGCAGATTCTGAAATTATTTGTACTTATTGAATATTTGCACATTTTGACTGAGTTTGAAAAAAAGCTGCTACAAACATATTCCAAAATATTTTGTATACTTTCCACTTAAATACATAGATGTTTGTAACTGTGACTGTGTCTGCATCCTAAGTGCACAAAGGAGCTGTCAACCTTTATAATCATCATTGTTCTCAACAAACTCAATTGTTGTTTACATCCTTGCTGATGTTTGCAGTTTTTCTCATTTTAAAGAACATTCCTGCTGTTATTTGCACATCTCTGCTGTTGCACAGTTTTATTATGACTTATTGTAAATAGTCTGTTCTTTCTTTCAATGCTCAAATTCACATGAACATTTTGTACTTTTTTTAATTATCCTACTTATCTGCACACTCCTTGAGATTGTAGTATGCTGTTTTGATTATTTACACTGTATTTTTTACGTTCTGCACAGTATAGTATTCTTAATTCTGTTTTTTATATGTTTTATATTTTTTATCTTTGTGTGAACCTGCATACTTTGCCTGTCACTTTGCTACTGTTGCACCAGAATTTCCCCACTGTGGGACAATAAACTGTATTTCTATTCTATTCTAACATGAAAAAAAAGTCTAGGAATAATTTACAAGGCACTGCATGAGTTCACAATTTTTTGGACTCCAATTTGAGCCTATGGTAGAACGGCTCTGAAGGAGAACGTGGACATTTCCTGGTCCACTGGAGTTATTGAATACGGCTATGCATGAGTACTTGATACACCTGGTCCTCCGAGATAACTGATATGCCCCATTCACTACCGCATAGAAAGGCGAGTCGATAACACGGGGCACATAATATCTAACAATATGAGAAAACTGCAAGACAACTGCAACACATATATAGTTGACAGTCTGACATTAAAACAAATTAAGGTTTTTCATGTTTTTTCTTTTGTTGTTGTTGCTGTTGTGGTTTGCCTTGTAAGAGTAAAAAAAAAATCATATTAAAAATGAAGTATAAAAAAAAAAAAAAAGGTTTTTCTGCTTTAGGTCACCAATATTATTACGAATCCCTAAATGCCAAAATGAGAGGGGATTTTTCTGCAATATACATATTTCTACAATTTCTTTATATTATAAAAATGCTCTGGATGCATGTAAACATTTGAAATTTGGTGGAGTTGCCCTTGACTGTGGATAAACATGCTGTGTGTACTACTCACAATAGCTTGCTAGTATTTTGGCACATTTCTGCTGACAGAACTGTTGTAACCGAGACAAGTTTACAGACTGCTTTATTCAGAGACATTATCACAAATCAATGTGAGATCCTGACTTCATGATGACTACTCTGAAACATTTGACATTCCTCTCCTTTGGCCACGTTGTAGCTAATTTGGCGACAAGGCCAAGGACATTTGGAAGACCCACTTGTGCCCAAATGACTCTCTTCCTGATATCTTGTGTTGTTTTGAGGCGTATCTTCAATATTGTCACATAATTTTCTTTTCTCGTGAAACCGCCTGTGCGCCAATCTGTCCTACAATAAGCCAAACCCTACACTATGAGGCTGCCACTTTCTTACATTTCTTTCCAAATTTAACAATGGTACCGGTTTTGCTTCACTGTGGATTATGTAAGTCTCTTATCAGCTTCAGCCAACATCTTTACAAGGTAATTTGCTTTTTTTCTAAGTTTGATGCACACAGTTCACATCCAAACACATTCGTTTCTGCAACACAGAATCTGACTCCTTCCGGAATGTCATGACGGTTGAATATTCCCGATGCTGCTACTTGCATGTAACTGTTTGGACAGACGAACATGAACACCTTTAGAAATCTGGGAATATAACTAAAGTTTAACCAGTCAGAGCTATGGAGGTCTGCAGCTCTGCTCCTGACATTTTGTCTGATTTATTTTTACTTTTCCCCCAAAAAATAAAAACCTTCAGTTGTGGCTCCAATTAACTCAAATTGGAAGATTACAAAACCAAATAATCATCATCTTGGCTTTCCTAAATTGCTTACACTTCTGAATAAAAAAACCCCAAAAAACTCTTCTTAGCAAATATATAAAATGTTGATGATCTTAGTTGATCTAAAACAAAAGAAGAGAATATTTTTTTGAATGTAAATACTGTATCTGGATTGAGTTTTGGTTTGTTTAAGGTCAGTCTTCACCTATAAAAGTGAATTTAGCTGAAGGGTGGATATTTTGTTTATCTTCATCAAACTATTTTCACCTTTTTGCTAAGAGCTACTGAAGAAAACAAGAATAGAGGTGTTTTTAAGAAGATTGATGCATAAATCCTTCATTTGACACTCTTCAAAAATCATCTCCAACAGTTTTTTTTTTTTTTTTGATGAAAAATAAGTTGCTGTTGCTGCTTCTCAGCCCTGAGGATAAGCTGCGGCGCTCAGACGTTGCGCACACAGAACAGATCCCAGCAGAGGGGCCGCCTGCAACTAATCAGCTGAGGGCTGGCATGATGTAAAACATTATCCGTCACAACGGCACACTCAGGTCGGAAAAGAAAGAAAAAATGAATCAGTGCCACTGTATAACAGCAGCTCCCACACTGTGAATGAGCCCACTGCAAGGCGCCTCCACAAAAGGACCTACGTTGTACCATCACAAAAACAATCCCTCTCACACACACTCACGCACGTTCGTGGAGAAATCCGACAAAGCAGAAAGGATGATGGTGATTATGACACATAGCTATGCCACCCACAGCGGTGCCTGCGTGAGGGCAGAGCACATCAAACTGAGCAAGTGTAACACATGCTCTGTGTCAGTCCTCCTCCCCTGCACTGGCATGTAATGCATGACACATAGCTGAACCACCTACAGGCCTGCTGTCTCCATGCCCAGCTGATGCTGGAAGAGGGGCGACTGAGGGTAGCAGCCAAGGAGACGGATTTTACACGATTGTCCTCTGAATGAGAGTGTTTACGAGCTCAGGCTGTTTTCCTGAGTGGAGAATTAGTTCTTGGATTGGCTCAGACGTCTCTCTTTTTAACTTGAAAATATCACCAAGTGTCACGTCGAAACAAAGTGCTGATTTACCGTTAATAGTCTCATCTGCTGCTGCTTCTCACCCAGCAGCCCGACATGTGTAAACATGTTGCAAACGGACCTCTGGGTGTTCTGTGACTGCATCTGTCGTAAGCTCAGAGCTATTCTCTGAATGTGATGAGTGTCTGTGTGTATTATTGGATGTGACGGGACGGCTGGCAGTGGAGGAGTAGCGGGGTGGGGGAGGGGGGGTTTGATGGCCTGCAGCCGCGTACTTCCAGGTGATCCAATCTGAGTGACCCTGAATTGCCCCGCTGTGAGGATGACAAATTAAAGCAGGAACGGTTACTTGATCCGACCCAGACCTCCTCCTCAAATACAGTACGTGCATAATTCACATGCATGCACCAGCATCAGCTCTGGACTGCTCTGATGATCTCGTCGTTTTGACACATGTTGATGATTGAGAGGACAGGCGAGACGAATATTTGTGATTTGGGGTTTAATGAGGTGAAGAAGTTTTTTTTCACATTTATTGCCAAAGATGTTTCAAAAGTAGTTTGGAATAAATTAATCTTGTGTTCCAGAAGCTTAATCTGACAAAATAGAAAAATCTGACTTTAAATTTAAGTGCATTTGTTCTTTGTAAGTGAATCACGATGTGTTCATGTTCACCTTGGTTTTTGAACATATTTCTGTCTTTATGTCTCCGAATTCTTGCTTCACCAAAAACTCTTTCTCACCTTTCGAAACTGTGTCTATCAAATCGTTGCGTCAGAGATTTTGACAGCTTTTTTTTGTCAATTTTCATTCCCTATATCCGACAGTACAACTACAGTGTTGCAAGTTATTGCGCAGCTTTCCCTTTTAACACCTTGAAAGCTAAAAAGAAAAAACAAAAAAGATCCAGTAGATGAAATTATTTAAAAGTTTGCATGAACAAAGGTAACATTAACAAGCTTTAATATTAATCGCTACCAAAGAGTCTAGCAAAAGTCTTCATGTATTTTGCATTAGATTTTAATTCGATTTTAATAGATCCATCCACTGCATGTCACAGATTTAGCCAGCAGCTTTGTGGGACAGTCTTGTTGAGGCTTGAGTGGTAAACTAAGTTGTTGTTGGCTTTTTGCAGAGGCCACAAATTAAACTGGAAATGTGTATTTTCTGCAAACAGGTGGTAAAAACTAATTTGTCATTAGTTAACTGGGATTTTTGTGCTGGCACAAAACCGACTCTCTTTCCTTTAGCAGGCTTCTTTCATTCTTGAATGATTTAAAGGTCACTGCTGAAATAATTGGTTCGGCAAACAAAAAAATATCCCCTTGGTAATAATGTAAAAGTAATGTTTCAATCAAAATGTTGTGAGTCAGACCAAAAGGATCCTGTGCTGATATCCTACCCTCAGATTTTCTAAAGGAAGTTTTGTCTGTCGCTGCATCTGATCTGATTCAAAGAGTAAACTCGTTCCTCCCATCAGGTGTTTTTCCCCAAGGTTTCAGAATAATCTGGACAACTTTCTCAACCTCCAACTATTCATTCACAAGCAAAATTATTAAAAGCAGTTAAATAGTTTCTGACCAACAGCTTTGAGCTTTGAAGGCTTTCATTTCAGTTTCAATGCTCACCAAAGAACAAAGACTGAGTTTGTCACAGTTGTCAATGACATTCACTTAAACACAGACGGAAGAACTGCAGCAATGTTGGCCATGACATTACTGAGGCAACTGGACTCTCTGCTGCAGTACTTAGCCGGTTCAAATCTAAGAACGGACTGAAGTCGCATGTGGGGTACCACAACGTTCCATCCTGCCTCTCTCTTATTTAGTATCTCTATATTACTAATTATTAATATTTTATATTAATGTTTAATGCCTCCTTCCAACTCAGATTAAAGTAATAGCATTAATTACTGTTATTATGCAGATAAAAAGAAACATAACTGAAGTTATTGTCTTTGGACCTAAAGAGGAACGACCTAGAGTCAGCTTCAGTTATTACAGCTATAGAAACTAATGATCAGGCTCAAAATCTGGGGGTAGTGATGAACTCAGACCTGAACCTTCAAAGACGCGTAAAGACAATTTCAAAGTCGGGCTTCTGTCACCTGAAGGACATTTCCAGGATTAAAGGACTAATGCTGCAGCAAGACCTAGAGAAACTTATTTGTGTGTTTATCTTTTGTCGCATTAATTACTGCAACAGCGTCTAAAAAAATCCATCCTCCGGCTGCAGCTGATGCATAATGCTACTGTTCACACTCTCACTAAAATCAGGAAGCCAGAGGACATCACACCAGTTCAAATGTTCTTACATTGACTCTCTGTAGCTCAGAAAATAGACTTTAAGATACTTTTGTTAGTTTATAAATCACTGAATAGTTTAACACTAAAATACATTAAAAACCTGTTGTCGTACCAGCCTTCCATACGACCCAGGTCTTCTGGTTCTGGTCTGCTCTGCATCCCCAGAACCAGAACTAAACATGGAGAAGCAGCATTCAGCTTCTACGCATCATAAATCTGGAACAAACTTCCAGAAAAATATAAAATTGCTGAAACACTGAGTTCCTTTAAATCAAGACAAAAACTCCACTTGTCTTTTGTAATGACAATGGGCTAGGAATGCGTCTTTTCATTACTTTTCTTTATTTTGTCACCGTGTTTTTATTTTATTTCTTTTTTTGCTTGTTCATTGTGTTTCTATCATGTGAAACACTTGTTGCCGAAATGCGCTATGCAAATGAACTTAACTTGACTATTACTGTTAAAAAAACTAACCATAATTTCTTTGAAGAACCTTGAATAATATGAGTTACAACAACATTGAATTTACCTTGGGGATCAATGAGGGTATTTTTTTTTATTTGAAAGCCGACACGTCTCAGTGTTTTATTTTTTCTTCTCATGTCGCCTGTGAAAGAAGCATCTTTGCTGGCGGAGGCCTTTGCTCAACTCGTTGTTTATTTGTTGCTTTGATAATTAGCCTCTGATTCATGCAAATGAAACCCAACCGACTTCAACTGGCCCAGAAAGAGGAAGAAGGCGCAGCGTGCACGCATGCAGCTGAGTCGTTCCAGGTGATTGTACTGAGTGGGAACAGATGATAGCGAGACAGATGTGGTGCGAGGAGAAGATAAGGCAGAGGAACAGAGGCGACGTGTGGAGACAGAGAGATTGCACTTTGCTCTCCGAGGGGAAGAGGAAGCTCAGCGCTGTGCCAATAGGAAGAGTTTGTTCCTCGGCGAGATACAGGAGACAGTGTCAACACACACGCTGAGCTCAATATAGCTGCTGTCACCCGGCCAGGCATACCTCCGTCTCCTCTCCAGCCTGACACCTGCACCTTCCTCAACACCTCTCCTTCCTTGCTCCTGTGCCTCTCGTCTCTTCCCTCATATATTCCTCTCCTCCCTACAACCCGCGTCCATCAATGTCACGTCCTAGGAGCTAAATTAACTGATCCCTCCTTTCCCGAGCTCTCTCTCCTCATCTTTCTCCTCCACCTCATTGTACTGTATATATACCACCGACTTGACACGAAGCCAGACGTTGGCTTAATATAACACGTTTTCTCTGTGGCTGCCACCCGCTCCCGCATTACCCTCTCTTTCCGTCTCCCACCACCCCGGCTTTCATATGGGCACCGGCTAC